TTTAGGTTCTATGTGAATCATATATATTAATTATTGTATATATATATATGTATATATGTACATATATATATATACTGAGGAATTGTAGATATATATATATATGTACATATAATATATATATATATTGAGGAATCAGTTCCACACCACACCACCAGATCGACCTCAAAATCGAAGAGCGGAACAAATTCAGCCAGGTCTTCGGACGGCCGTGGAGCTTTCACAGCTCTCAGCCGCAACCTGAGTTCCTCGTCCTCAAGAGCACACGGGCGACAAAGTGTGTTTCTTGGCCGTCCAGGAGCAAGAAGAGACGCTGCAGCCTGGAAGTGAAGTGTGGATACCAAGAAGAAGTACTCAACTTGCAAAGCCATTTTGCCTCCATCTTCATGTCATGAATGGCTTGAGGAAAAGAATATCTGCATACAAACATGGTGCTTGAGGGGCCTGAAGAGTTGGTCGTCCTGTTTTATGGCTGTACTTTTAAGATGGGATGCTGCTGTACAGCGCCTCACCCGTTGGCTGACAAACAAGAAGAGTCTTTTGTGGGAAAGATGAGAGGACGAACACCGTGAAGGGGGTGAGCTAGGTGATGATTTGAAGTCCAAAAGAGAAGTTCCGTTCATTTTAGCTCCGTTCAGTGATGTTCTGGACTACCAGAAGACCATGAAAAGAACCAGTGTGTTCCAGGCATCCACCAGTGCATCCGGCACAGGCTGGGATCGAAGATGACGACATCGATGGCTGGAGTCCCAGTTTTCTCAGACGTTGTGAGGGACCAACAAGACCCGCAGCTGGTACAGCTTTCACATCAGTGTTCAACACAGTTCACATCCTTTTAACAGCTTTCTGAAAGGTGTGCCACAGACTGGTACACTTGAAGATGAAGAGGCTGCGAAGGGAGGTTTCTGATTAACCATATAGCTATAGCTGTAAGCTGTGACATCCGATCAAGTGTTATCCATTGGATCGGTAGAGCTATGGCCTTGGAGCTTCTTCGCAGGCTCACGGCCACCTTATTGCAGCTCCGCGTGAAGCGCAGTTGGACACTGAAACCCGCCGCAAGAATGGTTGAGACTCGAGACTCGTGTGCGTCTCGCGTGCTTTTGCGGCCAGTTTTGTTCAGGTTGGAGATGCCTGATGATCAAAGAGATGACTATCAGGTGCGGCCCATTTCGAACGACTCTTGGATACTTGGTGGTGGGCGATCTATTGGAACTACTTTCCCCAAAAGCATGTGCCCAAGCCCTCTGACTACGAGCTCCAGCCTCGTGTGATGTGAGGCTGATGCACCAAGAACGCCGGTTGATCGAGGCCATTGGCGATTAACATGGTATGTTCTTTTGAGAAGTAGAGCCGCTCGGGAGACCTTTGCCCAGAAGATGAGGGGAGACGTTTGGCTCAAATCTCTTGAATGGTTTGGGTCGAATACCGGAATTTGTGTTGAGACACAAATAGACACAGGACACTTGGAGTTCGGCTAGATGTATGAACATATCAATCTTGAAGAAAGCCCTGTGCAGCCTGTTTTGAGGCAATGCTTCTCCAGTGGAATGCTTCTCTCCGCAGGCAAGCTGCCAGGTATTTGATAGTATATATTTGATAGTATATTTGATAGTATATATACTCGTATTTGCCACATGTCGCGACCAAACGTGGTCCGGTGAAGAAACATGTTCGAGCTGTGGTCCTCCACGCGCGCCGCCCAGGCCATGGCCGTCTTGGAAGCGAGACGCAAAGAGCTCGGCGCTCAGCGACCTGACCGATGACCGTCAGGGACTGGTGCCCCAGAAGTCCGTGGATTGGCAGGTCACCATTTTTAGGGGATCTGAATGATTTGGGGGACACCCCACCCCCACTGAAAGATGAACGACATGTCGACAGAGTCGCGGGCACTGCTGCGAACAACATCCCTTCGAGTCGCCGAACAGGTTGGATCACGAGCGCTTGACGGTTGAAGAGTCCACTCCTAAGACGGTCACTCTGACGGTCCATGGAAGAAGACCCATTTGCTCTATGAAAAGTGGGGCTTTCCACTTCCATGTTAGTGAGTATACGAGGGTAATCCGTTTTTGGGGCTTCGAGCGGCATGATGTGTTTGTTCGGGATGCAAAAAGCCTCTCGAAAGTTGTCAGCGTCAGCTTTGCATGGATTTTTGTTGTCCATACGGTTGCCAGCAAGCAGGCTCAGACGGCAGTTGAAGCAAGACGTGCAGTCCTGGCTATTCTTCTTTGACAGAACTTTGAATTCAGAAGGGCTGCCAGCTGGCAGCTCATCCATATCAATGGCTTGTATCCTGGCCGTCAAGGATGCTGACTCAGCCCGATTGTTTTGCTTGCAAGTTGTGTTCATGCCTGTCACGAATGAAAGACACCGCCTTTGGCACCGTTCGTGCCAGGCACCGTTTGCGCTCCGTTGGGATGACCCGTGAACAGGTTGGGGTTGGAGTTTATCGGTGATATCCTGGATATCTCAACCTTTTTGATTCCATATTATGGGACTGCGCTCAAAAAGCCCTACTCAAAAAGTATAGATAAACGTAAACTTTTAAGGTGGAGATGTGTTTTTTAAGTCTTCGTTTAGAAGCGGGCCCCCAGCAGACTATGGTGATACAGCAAGGCAGCGCTAGATTGGCGCTAGGTTGGCGCTAGATTTCTTCATAACAGGATGAGCAAGCAGGAAAAAGAAACAAGCAGAGAGCAACAAAAAGAAGAAGCAAGGCAAGACAAATAAAAACAAAGCAGAAGAAGAAGAAGCATGCACAACCAAGAAGAAGACAAGCAAGCAGGAAAAGTAAGAATCTGACAGGATCAAGAAATCGACGGAGATTTTTGCGCTAGGCTGGCGCTAGATCCGCGCTAGCACCGCGTTAGACGACGGTCCATTTCTTGACCATTTGCCCATCCAACATCCAAATCTTTTGAGTCAGCTTTTACATCCTTCCTATGTCGTCCTGAAGATTTCTGAGAACAAAAATGGGCAAGACCAGCAGCAGCAGTAGCAGCAACAACAGCTCCAGCATGCTCCAGCAGCTCAACAGGCCCCTGAAAAGGTCCGCGCTAGACACCTCTCACAGTTTTTGCAGTTGACATGCCTTCATGCTTAACATCCCTGTAGTTTGAGTGTGGTTGGAGTTTAAAGGAGATTTAGAATCGGGCCCCCCATGGAATTGCGATGAGTGCACCATTTTGGGAAAAGACATTTTGGAAACAAACCATATGATTCCAGTATAATTACATAATTACATATACAACATTACATATAGTGATATGATATATATATATATAAAGTACGAACAGCCAATGTTGTTTAAATTCATATTGTACGAATGGTCGTCGTTCGGTACTACCATATACTACCAAAAGAAACACCGCCGGGTCACGGTCGTCGACGTGTTCGCGAACCCAACCCACAGACCCATGGACGGGCGGCAGGCTCGGGTCCGGTTTTCTTTTTCAAGTCTTGGGGAGGTCCTATTCCAATATGAACTAATATATGCTAATATGAAGTCCTGGACTTCTGATACTTCTGGATTTCAGGCCTGAAAGGGCATCTCGAACCGCGTGAAGTCGCTGCGATTCGCTGAGCCGTTTTGGTCGGAGGCGCTGTTGCAAGAAGCTGGAGTTGCCCTTGATAGTCGAGTCTCTGCTTTGAACAGGCCAGTGATCAACGCTTTGCACATGTCCTCCCTTGGATTTATAAAAATATAAGCAGCTGTTTCAGGGCGCTTGCGGAACACCGTGTGATCCACCAGACGCTGCAAGGCTAGCCGGGCGCTAGAAACGCGTGCAAGTCCCACCACTGGGGTGTGGTGTGTGTGGTGCGTGCGGAGACCTTTGAGAATCCCTGAGATCTAAAAATCCTAAGACACTTGGATGGGTATAAAACGACCCTCAAGACGACTCATTCTCGTAGTCTTCGGACGCGACCACCAACTACGGTTCTGATGTTGGTGACCAAGTGACAGACTCAGCTTCTTTGCACACATGGATTTACATTTTCACCTGGTTGCAGGTAGCTTGGAACAAATCCGAAGCAAGGACGGGCTTGACGGCAGCTTGAACAGTTTGAGTTGATCTAAAAGATGCACATGGAATCACATGGACTGGATTCTCATGGACCAAAAATACTACCAGTGACGAAGTGTGAAGGCAAGTCAACTGTTCGATGATGTTTGCATAATTAATGAAACCTCAGACATGGATTGGAAAACCTTCTGGATATATTAATCAAGAGTCTACACAAGTGTATAGACGATTGATTCATGAAAGCCCTTACCAACCAAAAATTGACTGCCCTACATGCCTGGGCAGTTAGACATCAAGCCTTGACATAACCGATGGGACTGGAATATATGCCATGAACCGAGGTCAACCACCCCAATGGAGGTACAATATGGCATACATGCAGTTTGCGTGGGATGCGATGTCCCGACTACTTTCAATCAAAAGAACGATGTAGGTAGAAGATATTGGCCATGAAAAAAGGCTTTAAATGCCATAATGCATCCATGGACGTCAGATATGCAATTTGCCATGTAGTCTTTTAAGAAAACAGAACGGATGCATCCGAACGGTTTTTCGACTTCAGACGTCCATGCAGGCCCATGGCGACACCGGCGGCGACGCGACTCCCGTGACCGGAGTAGGTGCCACTGCAGGCGACCCGTGACCTGGAGGGGGCGGACTGGGAAGAGCCACCTCGCGAGGATGAGGAGAGGAAACGCTTTGGGTGCCATATTCTATACTTGTGCGTACTTGTTCATAGGTTGCTTAGCTTGCATTCTTCTTCACCTACCTTGAACACCTACCTTGAAGAAAAGTGGAGGTGCTGAAGCCAAACGCGCTGGTGGCTGGTCGTTATCTGGTCATCCACGGCACTGCACAGATGAAAAAACATGCCGTAGCCGAGGTTGGTGGACGGCAATAATAGGAGTATTTTACAATGTAAGAGCTGAGTATTTAATAGCCCTGGATGTTCCAACGACCAAAAAAAAATTAGCAGGTTTGGTCGTTGACCGCGCAAACAGCGGCAAATCTGCGCAAACGACAAATGTTCTTCGCACAGAACCCTCAAAGGACCACACAAATCCGCAAAACAATGCAAAACAAACGATCAGATCTTTTTTGGTACCATGAGTATGAAATGCGTGGTAACAGATGACTCCAGCATTCAGACTCTGTATACTGTACTTGGTTTCCTTTAGTTGCTGTTTTAAACCAGACATACTTTCACTCAGAGGACCTATGGGCCGACAAAGCCACCCCCGTCGCTGCAACCCCCGACCTGGTCGGCGCAGGTCGGCACGAGCGGTATGAGATTCCTTTCAAGACTGAGGCGCAACGCGGCGCAACGCGGCGCAACTGTGTCAGAGAGTGACCCTCCAACAAGTTCCAATTGCACGCAAGGCTAGTACGTCAAAAGCCCAAAAGCGCAGCGTGCTGCGAATTGTTCATGCGTGGTAAAGCAGGGCACCACTAGTTTGAGAATGGTTGTTACATGGCTAAACGTGGCAACAGTAACTGCAGGCTTTTGTCAAGAAACAAGTTTGTGAAGCTGTCTTTGTGACAGCTGTGCTCACGCAGGACCTTGGCTTGCTCCAACGATGGTCCTGCTGCTTAGATGGGCACAGACCGAGGACAAACCAGTGTCCCCAAAGACAACATCGCACAAGCATGCAAAAACATGGCGGTATTAGACAGATGTTAGGACAGCGGAACCATCCCAAACAACAGTTGCGTCATGTTGCATCCGACACCCCACGGAAAGCCTTGCACCATCTCTAAACACCCCGGTTCCTCTCTGTCTGGGAGGGGGCGCACAGCCGGTCCAACCGCGCTCGGTCGGACAGCCCCGACCGCCCAGTTCAGGCAGCGCATCTTGGGACACGAGCTGGGCGAGCCCTCCAGGCGGGTTTGACGCCGCGGAGTGTAGAGCCACACGGAGTCACGGGGGCTTTGTTCCCAACAGGGGAAAACAGGGGTAACAGGTATATGAGACAAAGAACGTGTACTGATCTGTACTACCACAGTCCTGGGATGATCATGAACTTGGATGGAGTTGGCTCGAGATATTCAGTGTCATAGCAATGGGAGAGATTTCCAAGAATGGAAATAGTATAGATTGATGCTGAAGCGACTGAGTTCAAGCGCAGGCGTACGAAATCACCACATTCCAGAGCGAGAGGACAGTGATTCGTTGTGATTTGTTGGTGTTTTTGGAGGTCAAGTATTGGATATGTCTCATATCGTCTTAGTATGAAAGTAGCGCTTTTGTCAGATGCATCATCAAGCCTTGCTAAGGGTATACTGGTAGCATGGAAATGCATGGAGTGGACTTTGATTACAGAATCAACTCGTCAGGAGCCCGATCCAACTCGCCACTCAGCAGTGAGACTCTTACGAATACTCGTGGCATGGCCCGACCTGTGCATACATGTGAACCCGTTTCCTCCGGCATCGCACAGCGATGCAACATCCAGGTCGGCGCAGTCGCAGCTACCGCGAGGCGCCGGACTCTTTTGAGGTCAGTCGAAGGGTTCGAGGTCGGTGGTTCTGTGATGATGGGCATGTGATGGGCATGAATGATGTGTTGTTGTTTGTTTGGTAGAATCTCCCCAGGACGAAGGACTTCTTTGGAGCATGTCTGAAAGGAAATGGGCTGTTAGAAACTCCCGAGATCAATTCTTTGAGGGCCATGAGCTTGCATCAACATGCATTTCTTAGGGTGAACTGATGTGAATGTTATTGCTGGATCAATGTTATTGATGAACTGATGTGAGCATGCCATGTCGCAAGCGTTGCTTTCAACATTTGACACACCAGGCAGTTGATCATCATTTGAATTGGCTGCAGAACTTCTCGCGCCAGGTGCATCCTGCAGTAGGTTATGCTTGTTTGCTTGTCAAATCTGTTCAAGGTTTGAAACGATTTCTTGATGGGTCAAGACCTCTTGCTGTTCACCTGACATACACTGGCATCAGCTCACTGCTTGTTTCTTGAGGCCGGTCCGCTGACTGCCCGGAATTATTCAGGCCACGTTTACCGTTCACCGGTCGTTCCACCGGTCGTTCCCGGCTGAGTCGTTTCGGATGATGCGCACGGGCCCCGGATGAACCGTGATTCTTCAGCTGTCCAGCTTCGTGCGGAACCGCGTTGAGAACCACGTACTGTACCGCGATGCGTTGAGAGTTCGAGTCGGTGCGCGGCCCTGGCAGGTTGGTAACATATAGCACGCCGTATTTAGGATCCTGTCCTGTCGTTTCACGATCTTGGAGATGGCATGAGATGGCCACGAGTTCGGTTTAGAAGTCTCTGGCTGTGTACCGTTGACCAAAGGTGTCAAGAGCAAAAAATTGTACGAATTGATTGACCTTCTTAGGAGGTCATCGCAGCAGAATGGGTGTGCGAGCAAAGAAAAAGCTGTTGGAGATGGGGCGAGAGATTGTGTGGCGTTCTTCATATTTCAGAACTGAATTTGTTTGACTTGAATACAAATCTTACTATCCGGCCACTCTCTGAAGCTCAGGTTTTGGCATTGGCCACAACTAGATAATCATGAATGTGCACATCCCAGCAGAGGGTTTGTGATTATGAAGTGAAAGGAGTGCAAACAGACACTGACATGTCACATAGCACCACATGAAAGGTCTTTCACTGGCTCTTCTCACCTGCACATTTCCAGGCTTCATGTCGTTTCAGCCATGCCAGGGGCGCCAGCCACTTTCAAGTCCAGCACCTCCGGGATTTGACGTCTCCGAACGCTTGGAGAACTCGATCCGGAACGTTCATGTGCGGAACACCTTCATCGAGGTGGACGAGGACGAGCCTCATGCCGACTTAACACTCTCAGGTTTGGATTTGCATAACGCACCAGGGCGCACTTGGCGCCGTGGCCACTTGAGATGTGCTTCAGAGCCGATGTCCTTCTTTTTGTCTCAACCTCCGTGGGAGCCAATGTCTCTTTCACCGCCGCCTTTTTCGATGAGTGGAACACTCGGAAGTGGTGATTCACGCCCAGTCGGCGCCGAAAGGGGCAGAGCATGCACGACACAAAGGTCCTTGAACCAGTCTTTGGTTGCCACCATTCAGGAATCTCTGGACGAATATGAACACTTGAGGCATTCTTTGCCCCAATATGTGAAGACTCCAACTCAGAGTCCACCTCCCTGGTCCAGGGCCCCGATGCTCATCGATCCAGCTTGCGAGATCCCCAGCTTGACCCAGACGCCCGAGCCCGAGGAGCTCGCGCGAGCCGAGTGGTTGGACTCCATCCCAACCCGACTCGCGCTGCAACCGACGCGATTTCGACATGCCCGACAACGGTCGCGCACCATCCAGGAAGACAGTGAACTTGAGAACGAAGAGGTCGCGCCCCCGTCTTTTGAGCCCAAAGAAGTGGGGACTTCTCCTTGGGACTCCTGGGACACGACACCCGTGAATGTGCGTGTGCGCAACACCTTCATCGAGGTGGATGAGGGATCGGTGGCCTGCTTTTGCTTATAGGAATATGTTAATTTCTCTATGTTTGTCCATGATGTTCCCCTATGATTCAATCATCCCCTTATTCTTCTGAATATGTGTTTAATTGTTTTTGTAATATATGTTCTTTTTGTTTTAAATATTTTAGTTGTTTTAATGGTTTTTTTGTTGTTTCTTCGTTGTTTTCTGTTTCCCTGGGAGCCATCATTTGTGGGACCCAAGGATGGTTGCACCGATCCCTCCGACCCACGGATGTTCGGGTCCGGACCCCGCCGGATGGGCGCCGGGCACCTGAGATGTGCCTCCGAGCCGACCTTTCTGGCGGGGTCGGATGGGCGCCGGGCACCTGAGTTGGGTGGCTTCCATTCAAGAAGTAGCAGCTACCATGACGACAGCGTGGAGCACGAGATTCTGCGGGGGAGTGAGTCCCCAGAGGTGCGTGGTCAGCAGAACCATGTGCAGAACGAGGTTTTTCCATTTCGTGGCGACACGGTTTCGGGACCAGTACCAGTCCCAAACCCGCGAGAGCAGCGAGGGCTGCATTCAATGTCATTTCCCCAAAGATCTCAAGATCACTTCACTCAAATGCCACACCAAAGCGCAAAGTCCTCCGGACTGTGCAAGTGGCACAGCCGTGGAAGCTGCAAGTATGGGGACTCCTGTCGCTTTTCTCACACGAGCTCGCAGAGCCACGCGCAGAGCCACGCACAGAGCCACGCGCAGAAGCCCAAGAAGAGCGACAAAGGAGAGGTCCAACGATCAAGCCCTTCAGGCCCACTTCCGGCAGGTGCGGTGCCAAGCACGTGCCAAACCGTGTTGGTCGGTGTTTTTTTCCAGACCGGTGTTGGGGGGAGGGGCCGGCCCCAAAAGGACAGCCTAGGGGCCAAGGGCATCGAAGATCAAAGAAGGACTTGAACATCTTGAAAAGCCTTTTTTGAGTTTGGACAGCTCCTGGTGCGTCTTCAGTTATTGTTTTTGTTGAAGTACTTTGCTTTCAATTGTTTTCATGTGCACTTGAAGATTCATTTATGTATGCGGCATGCGGATGTGTAGTGAGTGTATATAGATAATGATGATGGGTGTTTGTGTGCGAGAAGAAGGAACTCATTCCAATCTGACAGGTCCTCTTTTGGGGGCCACTCCTTTTCCAGTCGGTGCTGTGAATGCACAGGCAGGAGCTTTGAGATGGTTGCTTTGAGAGGAGCCAGTCTCAACTCTTTAAAGTTGTCAAAGTCTGTTGGTGGCTATCAGATATGTTGGGACCTTCAGGATTCTCTCTGACGATCCATTGAACAAGGGCTCACAGGCCACAGTTCCTGGGCCTCACCCACCTGGCCAGGCCAAGCCGCGACCTGCGCAACACAATGGGCAAGGGTGGGGAGGCCAAGGCAAAGAACTCTTCACTGTGGTTTAGCAAGCGATTAACAAAATCAGAGGGGACATGTAAGCGATTTTCATTCATGTTCCCGACCGAGAAGGAGCAAACGATCCGGAATTGTAGTCATCTGAAGCAGACGAAGGACTACAGTCTACAGATGACTACCAGCACCACCCAATGAGTGGTTTATAGACCCCCCTGAAGATGTATGTTCAATCCAAAAACCACCCTTTGAGAGGCCCTGGTATATATGTTTCTATATTATATGGACCGATATGGACTTCCTCTTTTGGGCAAAGTAGGCCCAGTTTCTGCTCCTCCAAAGCAGGTGCTTCCTCGCTTTTCCAAGGCAAACCATCGGCCGCCAGTGCCGAAGTGCTCGGACCTGAGAGTCTCGCACTGCGCAGAGCGCGCGAGACTCCTGCGCACTCCTGGGGCATTTTGGGTCGCGGAAGTGGAAGGGGAGGGAAGCAGACTCTGGGGAAGGGGCCAACTGTTCCTGAAAAGGATCGTACTCTAGTTTGGAGCCATAGCCAGTCGTGTTCCTCCCAAGATTCGACGAAACCCAGGATCCAGGCCAAACCGAAGAGATGAGTAGGAGATGCTTTCACGAGGCTTCACCGCTTCATTGCCGGCGGCAAAGGTGAGCCCTGTCAGCACCACCGCGGGCAGCAGCGATGGTGCCGATGGCAGCAAGGCTGTTCGAGTCGTTGACTTCTGTGACTTCTGACGGGCAACATCACAATCTCTTGTGTCTTTCGGGCAAGAAACACTTGTGTCTTCCGGAAGAAAAAGGGTCTTCCTGAACACGCCAGGCAAGAAGCTCCCAGAGGCACGCCAGGCAAAAGTGCCATTTCGATTGAAACTCCGACGCCCCCTCGTCTTCGTCCACAGGAGTTCATGCGAGAAGACCCACCAGGCGGCGTGCTGTTAGAGAAGCGAGCATTATTTTTTCATTGTCATTGCATGTCATTCTTGAGCTTGGTCAGTGTGTTTTCTTTATGGTTTTCTCCGAATCAGCGAGTTGGTCTCCTTCATGATCATCCATGATCGTCAGGTCTTTTGGTGTGATGCCAGGGCGTTCAAGCAAGAGTTTCAAGGGTCAGGAGCTTACCAGTCAGGCCCACCCTCAAGGGCCCTGGCGGCTCACCAGTCAATCACCAGTCCGGCCTCACCGGTTCAAGGCTCAGAGAGGAGCTTGAGAACGCCATCGGTGTCGCCGCGAAGGCTGCATTTCGGGAGATGGACGTGGACGTTCGATGGAGAGCGATGCAGTCGGAGTCGGCTTCCGGTGAAAAAGAGACATGAAACGAGCGAACGATGGTTTGAGATTCTGCGAATGATGCCCTGAAGATAGACAGGGTTTAAACGGGTTGACCTACCAAGTCAACGTCAGTAATTACTTCGGTTCAGATGGCAGTCACTGTCTTGCAGTCGCATAAGACAGCCGAGAAGTGCATGCGCTTGATGGGGCCTCAGCTTGTTTTTTATTGTTTTCTTTCCTGAGAAATGCAAGTGGCCAATAATACCTGCCTTTGGCTATCAATGTTTCAGGCTGAAAAAGAGGCAGCGCGTGCAAGCTGAACGAGGGAGACGAGTTCAGAAGGCACAGAGTTGACGTTTGTGCGGTTTTTGCTTCACCCACAGTGTCCTCCACCTAAGGCTCGACCATTGATATTTCTCGTCTCCTGGGCCAATGCTCAGGAGCTAGTTCACACCTTACCACCACAAGTTGCAAACCACTGGTATGACGCTAGCACAAACACTTCACTGTGACATTGGTTTGCCCGCGAGATCAAGACGATGCCGAGGTAGATTTTTTACAAGAGGCACAACACATGCCACCAGTGAAGGCCAGGCCAAAACAGCAGTCAAGAATCATGTTTTGAAGCCCTTTGTGTTTTTCGTTCTTTGGTTTAAAACAGACATATTATAGCGGATATTGCATGTAACGTTTCTTTCTACAGTATATCAGTTATGCTTCAAAAAATGCTTGGAAGAGACACTCCCTTCCAGTTGTCTCGGTCTTGTCCATCTGGTGGTCTTTCTGCAAAGCAGCAAGGTGGTGGTGCTTTGTGACACCAACGGCCCGCGCACGCGAGCAACAGCCGAGAGGCGCCCAAAAGGGCCGATGAGGACAAGAATTCGAGCGCAAGAACTCAAGAACAAGAGTTCAGTTTAGAAGTCTCAGGATCTGGATTAGTTCTCCAAAAGTCTCAAGAACAGTGGGTCGTCGTCACACCATTTCTTGCGCATGTTCCAAAGGCGATGACCGGTCTCAGGTGGGCCCGAGAGATGCCAGTGGTGGAGGCAGTGGCAGCCACATGGCCCGAGGCGCCGTCGGCCCACTTCGCTGAGCTGCAGAAGTTGTCTCATGCGGAGACCCAACACATGAAAAACACCCAAATCAATCAAGAGATTGAATGAAACGTGCCAAGACTGAGGCAAGTCTTCGCACGTAAAGAGGTTCATGGTTTTTTGTGTGGATGTGTCTTTTTTGTGGGGGGTGAAACATGGGCCATGGACAATGGTTAACAGAGACATACCTGCAGGTCAGATTAAGATTGGCAGTTTTTGATCTAGGAACTTCTGACATCTTCTGACTATGTTTGGAATAGCAGGTAACATTGGAACTCTTTGGAACTCATAACTCGGCGTTTTCAGGCAATCCAAGCAGTCCTGAGCTTGCTGTCAAGCGCCACTCCGAACGGCGCTTGACATGAACTGAGAAGAGAGATCAGGCGTCTTTCGAAGAGTGAACTTCTTGGAAGACTGCCTTCTTAGGAGGCTGCAAGTGGCTGAACAGGTTCTATTTTTCACCGACGACACCTAGCCTGCAAACAGTTTCACGATTCCCATAGTTGAACAGTCTAAGTTTGTCTAAGCCAAAGCTGACATTGTGCCAACATGCAGCCACTCGCCGCCACAACAAATGCATGGGCAGAGCAGTCTGCGCAGCGTGCATTTGCCGTTCTTTTGCCACAGAAAGATCAGAAAGATATATCTATATATATATACACTCATGTGTCCCTCAAAACCTAGGAACCAAATGAAATGTGCGAGCGCTATCCTGCGTCCTGTCGGTAGTAGCTACTTAAGCTGCTAGCGACTCCCTGGCTACTACCTCTACGGCCCACCACCCCGCCGGGCTATATCTTCTTGATATTGAGAAATACATGCCAGCACCCGACTCAGTCAAGGTCTCCGTAATGGTGACTTTTGAAGACTTAATTGAGCTGATATGTGTTTGATTCTTGATATGAAAAGGTTTATACAAATTGTAACCTTCAAAAGGGTGGCGTAGGCAACCTGCTTGTAGGCGGTCGTAGGCATTTGTTGTGCAATGTTTGTCGTAGGCGTTTGCCGTAGGCGACCATACATCCATTAAATTAGAATGCCCATGAAGTTAAAGTCAACTAGCTCGTCTTGCTGATTCACATTGAATGGAGTTTGTTGCTTTGATAGTTTTGTCTCTCAACTTGTTTTGTTTTGTCCATGAGCAATCTTACTTAGGGAATTTATATAGAAAGGCTACTGCCTCCGTGTGGGAGATGAAAACACCCAAAAGTATCCCAAACGACTTGTTTGTGTGTTTTCCTTCGTGATCCTTCCTCCATGTCCGCTTGCCTATAGTATTCTCAAGTATATCTTAAAGTCTTAATGTCGAAGACATAGGGAGACTTGCAAGAACTGCATGGTACCGTAGGCAAAATTGAACAGCATTTCTCTGACACCTCGCGTTCGTAGGTTTCACATAGACGTTTTGAATTAGTCATGTTTGCCATAGGCTTTCACTGTGGAAACGTAGGCAAACCATAGGTTTCTACGTAGGCGCCCACGGATGCTAACAACAACACCACCTCTAACAAAAAACAGAAAAGGATGTTATATGGGTGTATGTTTTCCAGTGTTCTCGAAACCGCTTGTTTTAGGCTTGAAACCCCCTTGTTTTGGTACTTTGCATGTTGAAGGTGTTAAGACGCTGAGGACGAGACCTTGTAGCTGTTGGTCGGTGGTCGTTGTCTGCTCGTGAGTAGTAGTATTGCTACTGTAGTTAACCGGATCCTGGGGGGTCGGCCCCCTGCCCCGGAGGTACTACCTGTGGGGCATCAAGCTCCAACAGGTCACAGGGTGAGACGGGATTATCATCACCATTGCCATTTGCATTGGGGATGGGGCCTTGAAAATACAATATAGGACCTCAGCCCCCTTCAGCGCAAAAACAGCATGTGTCTTTAAAAAGTGCTGCCTGTGTTTGGAAGATCTGGACCTTGGTTCCAAAGAATCTATTTTTTTTGAATGTGAGGCTGATGCTGGAGAAGTTCTTTTTTATAGAAACAGTCGTGATACAATGGCTTTGAACCTCAGCACTGGTTGATTCTATTTTCATTGTCTTGGATAGTCAGGGACGCTTCAATAGCAAATGCACCAATCACTAAGAAATGTGTTGGAGGTGGGAGTCATTTGGTGAAATAACCTGTTTCCAAATAACTAACTAACAAATACTATTTCTAAATAACATTAAGTTTCCACTACAACACAATTGCTGCGCGATGCAAGTCGTCCCAGTCATTAGTTCGTAGTGGAAACTCAAGGGTTTTCCAAAAAATTAAAAGGTGTTCCTAGGTGTTCTGGACTGGCAGACTCTATATTATTGGAATTGTCCTCCGAATACGAGCCACCCAAAACACAGACACAAGCATAGCACCCCACACAAGCTATGCCAGTGCTTCCTAACCCTACCCCGTGAAATCTCCTTGAAACATAGCATGCATATAATAGAATGTGGGAAGGCATGGCCAAAGACACGTCTTTTGTGGGTGGAGGTTGCAGATATGCAGATTCTATTCTCTCTAATTGTTGCATGTCACAAAGCCAATCCTCTACAAAAACCACCTAGCCCAGAATTGCTAAGCAGATTGAAAGAGATATATGTTATAGTTTTAGGGTGGATTTAGCTTTGGATTAGCAGATTGTATTTATTATTGGAATTGTCTTTCCAATACAAGCCACTTAAAACACAGACATAAGTACAATACCCTACATAAGCCATGCTAGTGCTAATTGAAAATATATTTAATATGAATAGAATTGATATTGAAATATATATGTGTATGTTATATAAAAATATATAGTTAAATTACTAAATAATATAGAATATATTAATATTATATAGTTTTTCCCGAATGCGTAGCGAAGGGTTTTCGTTTAACTCTTGGGAATAAAGCTTTATTCGCGACTCGTTGCTTTTATGTTCGTAATCGTCCGCGACCATTTATAACCGTCCGTAATAGGTCACTAAGGCTTTGTTATTGGGGGAAGCTTTTGCAAATTCTTTTTTCGGGATGTGTTACGTATAAGTTTGCGCCGTTATTCTATTGGGCTTGTCTTTTTTTAAGGTGTCTAGTTTATGTAGGGCTGGGATGTTCGATTTAGGCGAAATATATCCCCAAAGCATACCTTGAAGGATACCTTCTGGAAATTCTATTACTTTAGTCTTTACACTGCGCGAAGCATATCCCGAAATATACCTCCGAAGCATACTCCATAATCAAATATCCCGGCCCGGGAACCTTAAAAAAATACAAACCCATTGTAATTTGTATGAAAATGAGATATGGCACAAGACACGTGATGCGTTTCGCTGCGTAGGCGTAACGTTTTCTGAGATTTGTAGATTGCTGCGTAGTTCTATTGGGATTAGCGTTTGGAGAGTCGTATTTTTGGGGTGTTGGATGTAACCGTGCCATGGAGGGGAGTGTGCTTAGAACGGGTCGAAATTATTCTAAACGTGTGGTGTGGTGCAAATTTTGTTGAAGCTCATATGAAATGACATTGTTACTTTTCGTGGCAGGCGCAGGATTTTGTGCAGGTTTTGAGGTGTGGAAGTGGGATTTTCGTGGCAGGCGCAGGGAATCGTGAGGTTGCGATGGGTGACGGAGGTGACATTTCGTGGCAGGCGTAGTATTTTGTGCGCGTTAAACGTATGGACGCGGAAAGATTCGTGGCAGGCGCAGGGAGTCCGGAGGTTGTGAGTTGTGGTAGAGGTGAATGTCGTTGTCATATTGGGATTGGTGTGTGAGCGGGTGTCGTTTGGAGGGGCTGGAATCGCGAAATTGCTTGGCAGGGTTGCGTGATGTGGGTGCTCCGATGGGTGTTTCCGCTGGACTTTTGGAGGAAATTTCGTACGAAACGCTCGTTTTTGAGACTTGACGCATGATTTTTGGAGGAAGTCTCGTACGAAGCGCTCGTCTTGCAGCCTCGCAGCGTGACTTTTGGAGGAAGTCTCGTACGAAGCGCTCGTTTTTGACACTTGACGCGTGACTTTTGGAGGAAGTCTCGTACGAAACGCTCGTCTTGCAGCCTCGCAGCGTGACTTCTGGAGGAAGTTTCGTACGAAGAGTGTGCCCTATAGGAGTGTCCCACAAAAGTGTCCTACAAGAGTGTCCCACAAGAGTGTCCTACAAGAGTATCCCACAAGAGTGTCCCACAAGAATGTCCCGTATGAGTGTCCCGCAAGAGTCTCCCGTATGTCCCACAACAGTGTCCTACAAGAGTGTCCTACAAGAGTGTCCCACAAGAGTGTCCTACAAGAGTGTCCCACAAGTGTGTCCCACAAGAGTGTCCGACAAAAGTGTCCCATAAAAGTGACCCGCAAGAGTGTCCTACAAGAGTGTGCAACAAGAATGTCCCGTAAGAGTGTCCCACAAAAGTGTCCTATAAGAGGGTCCCACAAGAGTGTCCTACAAGAGTGTCCCGTAAGAGCGTCTCATAAGAGTGTCCCACAAGAGTGTTCCGCAACCATGTCCCACAAGAGTGTCTCACAAGAGTTAAGAGTGTCCATATAAGAGTGTGCCACAAGAGTGTCCTACAAGAGCGCCCTACAAGAGTGTCCCACAAGAGTGTCCTACAAGAGTATCCCACAAGGGTGTCCTACAAGAGTGTCCTATAAGAGTGTCCCACAAGAGTGTCCCACAAGAGTGTCCTACAAAAGTGTCCCACAAGAGTGTCCCGCAAGAGTGTCCCAAATGAGTGTCCCATAGGAGTGTCCCACAAGAGTGTCCCGCAAGAGTGTCTCACAAGAGTGTCCCTTCAGAGTGTCCGACAAGAGTGTCCCGCAAGAGTGTCCCACAGGAGTGTCCCACAAGGGTGTCCCGCAACAGTGTCTCACAAGAGATTCCCTTAAGAGTGTCCCGCAAGAGTGTCCCACGACAGTGTCCCACAAGAGTATTCCACAAGAGTGTCCTACAGGAGTGTCCTACAAGAGTGTCCCACAAGAGTTTCCTACAAGAGTGTCCCACAAGAGTGTCCCATAAGAGAGCCCTGCAAGAGTGTCCTACAAGAGTGTCTTACAAGAGTGCCCCACAAGAGTTTCCTACAAGAGTGTCCCACAAGAGTGTCCCACAAGAGTGTCCCACAAGAGT